CATAACCGAACCATAATGATTTTGTTTACGGAGTACAGCAAATTAATTTGATATTTCAGGGAATAGTGGTTTTCGACGAATCAGAAATTTTTCAGGGGCTACATATGCATCAACATAAATCTGAATAGCCATTTCAAACAGCCAGATAGCGGATCCCGCCAATTCCACTGTCCAGGCTTTGTTAAACTTAGGTGAAGCTGATAACGGCAGCAACAGTGTACGTGCCAAAAATGTTGTTCGTACGCTGGAGTGTGTTAAGCAGTTAACTTCAGAACTACGTTTTGCAGCTGTGTAACGGCTCTCTTGTACATGCCTATGGAGCACTTAAGCAGACCATATTTCCTGGGCATTTGAGCAGCTGCATTGCTAGATACCTCTCGCATGATCTTACTCATTGAAAGCAGTACCTTGGTCATCACAATCGATATATCTGCAACCATTGCTGTATATGGTTTCGCAAAATATCAGTGCAGAATTTTACCGGATGCATATAGGACTTCACCTACTCAGATACCAGGGAGCCACCGCCTGTTGCAATACAGCGGATTAGTGATGCAAAGCCAGCAAAGTTAGTCAACGAAATGGAGAATGCATGGCTACAGATTAGCGAGATGACCGTTCTTGATAACTTTTGGTACGAATTTTCACATTTGGATATTCTTTACTAACGCTTGCTTACCTATGTCGAGTAGGTGAAGTACATCTGCAACGCCTTCGCGGGTCTCTGTATTGGCGTGGGCACAAAGTGATTCTTTTGTAATTTATATTTCCATAAATGAAGGTGTTCACTTTTAAAGTCACTGCTACTTCCACTGAATGTTTGCTTTTTTTGAAGTGTTGTGTTTTAGAGATCTGTCTTTCCTCGAACGTCGTGTGCCGAACAGTTGAATCGTATGAGGCACACCACATGGAATTCTGGCGAAAAAAGAATCACCCAATCGTCTTATGTGTAATAACTTTTCATTGTTTTTACGGTAGATTAGCAGACGCATCCGTTTCAAACTGTTTATTTCTTAAGAGAAATAGGGTTTGATAACAAACTAGCGCAAATTCACTGAGATCATTTTAGGCCAGAATTTTCAGCAATAGATATTTTGTGCCGTAAGGCGAAGCTAGATTATAGCAGTCCAACTTGGTTAGTGATATACAATTGCAGTAATGGTTTTGCTTCTCGATTGAACTCACGTTAACTTTACAATACCGATTACTTATGATCTGCTTTAGAACTGGCTGATTGCTTAGAAGCTCAAATACGGTACCATACAGGAGAAAGTTTTCTGTAATTCTCTGTTTATATGGATGGTGAAGATGCTGCATTACGCATCATCGTTCATGACTGTATCTTCACGGTGGTGTAATCATTTTCGTTTCTCTCCGTTTCCTATTACCTTCCGGCCGTTCTTTCATTCGTATCTTCAGGTGACAAGAGTCTTACCCCTCAGTTAAGAGGTTAAATGGCATGATGGAAAGATTGCACGAAGCTCCCTAAAGGAGTTAGGGGCTTTCCTTCCTTATTGGTTGGAAGTCAGTCTTTAAGTAAGTACGTTGTAAGCCCTTTCTCTATGCCGATTTGACTTAAAAACAGAAATATCTACGTCCCTCTGAATACCACTGAACAAGACGTAAACCGGCCAGCCATTTTGGATGGCCTAAAACACGTTCACAACCACCGTAGCAACGAGAGTGTAGATCGCTGCAGTCAGCTCTGTATATGACTCCATTACTTTAATCATTACTCATGACTAGAAGGCCGGTTTCCTATGAAAATAGGTTGTTCTGTTGTCATTTTTCTGGATTCACACAGTGTAGGGCACAGTCCCTTTGCTTCCAATAACCTAGGGGGCCGTTTAAGCAAGCCACGGATCCATGGTATTTAGCAGTTGCGGGGTATGGGCACAAAACAGCACCACATGTTGGGTAGAACAGGCACATATTCGAAGAGGCCTGTGCGCTACGCTGCTCCGGAGAGAAGACAGAATAATGTTGCTACTGGTGGTATTGAAAACGTCGTTTGTCTGCAAACCCGTAATAGCTTATATATTTCTAATATATAAGCCTACGGACACATTCGTTGTTGTTCGAACATATCTTTGTTCTACCTAAAATGATGTTTTCGCTCATGCACTGCAATATCATGGAACCATGGCCAGCTGAAACGGTTCTAGTAGCAAGGGGACGGTCTACGAATCCGGAAAAATCACAGAAGAACTATGTTGTTACCGGTGGTATTGAAAACTCGCAGTTCGTTAACAGGCCCATAGTGCCGAAGTTTATTTCAAATTTTGGTCATATTGTTTTAATTTTCCGATACAGCTACTAAAGAAGTACTCTTTTAGACAGATGACAAAGGAATATTTCTGACATGTCTGAGCAGGGAGTTTACGATTGCGCAGAATACGTTTCAGCTTTCAAACAAACAGCTGTGTGAGTTGTCGTTCAACGCTTTACAATACAGTTTCGCTTCGGAATACTTGAAGAATGATCTAAATTCAAAATGGAAAAATTTTTGGAGCAAGAACCCTGACTGACTTTTAGCGGAATAAAGCTTTTTAAACATATTTTTACTTCTATGCCAGCATACAAAAAAATCATGAAAATATGCTTTCTACAAAGACACTTTAACAGTGCTTCAAATTTTTTATAAACAATGAAATACATTTGCAAAGCCAACGTTCTGAATAGCACCAACCATATTATGTAACCCGCGTTTCCGCCTTGTGTTTAGGAGGACGAAAAGAGCCTTTACTAAACTTTCCCTTCTTTTCTTTGCTAGTCTTAAAGTTTTTCCAGCTGTTAACTCGTTCATCCCTCGATTCCTGAAAGAAACTGCCATTGAAAACTACCTACAAAGAAAGTAAAAACCATTTACCTCATAGTTTTTCTGCCACTCTTCTTCTAACTTTCGCTTTTCTCTGGCGAGTTGTTCCTCCTCATGTTGTCGTTTCCTTTAAAAGCAGAACAAAGAGTAAAACTGATCATCTTGCTATTGCATACTTTTCCTCAAGGTCGCGTTCTTCCATGATCTTGCGCTTTCGGTCTTTTTCTGCAAACACCTTTGTGGTCATTACCCAAAGTGCTCGTTTGTACTAAAAATGACGAAACTTGAAACTATTTTTAAAAAATTAACACCACTATTCTACTTCTGCAACAGCCGATCACAAGCTCAGTTGAAAAAGAAGGAGAAAGGTTGTAAACTGGGTCCAAGTCTAAGTAACATCATGGCCTGCTACTACAACCAAAATCATCGCCTTGCCAGATAAGTCTTCGTTAGGGCTAACTAGGATTGCGCAGACCGCAGAACTGAGGCAATCCGTAAACCAGATGGGTACCGTGCTTCACGAACGATGGGACTTAAGGGCCAGAGGAATGGTGAAAAGAGCGGATTAATGGACTCAAGACTGTGGGTATAGGATATCGGTCAATAACGAAGTTCTCTGTTATCCGTTCTTTTAAAAGTAGGGGGCAGAACAATGCCAGCATAACAAATCAGACAAGGCCGCAGATACATTTAACCTAGATGGCAGCAGTTAAAGCATCTTCAAATTGCGCCAAAAAGAGCAGCAGCCTAGAGACATGACCATAATTGTAATACCATAAAAGCAAGCAAAAAACCTTAAGAATCTTGAATTTCTGCATGTTAAATTTTTTCTAATAGTGTAGATTCAGTGTAGGCACGCTGATAAAGCCCTAAAAAATTGATAAAGTCACTGGACGGAAATCCACCAGAGAAAGAGGCACCCGTTTAGTTTAAACTGCAAAGCGCTGATTAGGATAAAGGCCTACACACGTAATTGCGATGCACGTATGAAACACTGCTGGACGTAAATGATATACTTAACTAAGTTCCGTACAGTGAATCCGTCAAACCCCTATCTTTCGTGAATGTGAAGGAGGTTGCTAACAATATCGCAAAACGGCCTGAAAAAATTCAGTTTATCACGCAGATGTAGAAACCGCGTGGAAACGTCTTAATAGTACGCTTCGGGGTTGCTGCTGAACGTTACGTATAAAGCACATCGGACTGGAACGATCAGAAATGAACATCAACGTTGACGCAAGAAGTTCAATAAGCTAGAAAAAAGTAGCATTCAAGATCTCGTGTTCGGGCTACGCGCTGGTTCTGAATCGTAAGGGAAAGTAATGTAAAAGACTTAAAGATGAATTCAAAATGAGGCCGAGGAATCGGGCATTTTTTGGCGATGGCGTGAATACTTCGTAGGAATTCTGAATCTCGTGTAAGTGCAAGAAAACCAACGGCTTGAAGTGCGTCCAGGAGTAGAGAATTATTTTTGTAGCTGAGGTAACATACACAGTGGAGTTACTGAAAAATTGAAAAGCTGCTGGAACTGATATAACCTAACTTTAGATACATAAACAATTAGGCGATAAAGGCATGTTGCAACTAACACGTGTCTCCTTTGTGGAAAACATCAGTAGGGAAATCTCAAGGAACGGTTGAAGTACTTCGGTATCCCTTGTCTCCTGGAAACGTTTATGAAAAGTGTTAGCAGAGGCTGTCAAAAAGGCAGCTCCAAACCTGAATAAAATTTTACTTTCGCCCTCGACAAAGCACCGCTGATCAGACTTTCGCCTTAAGGCACTTTTGTGAGAAACGGTAAATTCAAACTGGCAGAATAATACTGTACGCATACAAAGGTGTAACATCTCTATAAGCACAATACGAACATGTTTCGAGAGTGCAAGAATGTGGTGGACTGCCATACAATGGAACACGCTAGAATTGAACGTCGTGGTGGTAAACATAAGAAAAGCTTAAAGTTCTGAAAGATACAATACAGTGATGATTATTACTGGAAACTAAAAATGTGTAAAAAGATTATTTGTGCACAACGCAAACGAATAGTGTCACACCTTTGACTCCAGACGCTACAACAGCTGTGGACCACACAACAAACTGCAGAAACCAATCCGGACAACGCAGAATAAGGATCGTGAGACCAGACGAAACGCGGGTACTGGTCAATTCCTCGATTGACCAGTTTATTGGTTTTAATTGTGGATAAATAATCAGTTTTATGCTGTTTTCAATATGAACACCAAAGCACTAACAAATTACTCAATCTTAGGAGACTACCATTAACTTATCATCGTCATTCGTCTGCTACAGGCTGATAACTGAAATTGCACCCGTTGATAAAGTACATTCTGACATCGAATCGATCATCAGTATCACAATCGCGCATTAACGTAGTTTCGCACTGACCTTCTCTGGATCATCCTCGTCCACTATTACGGGCGAAGTTGACTTTTTGTCTTTCTTCAGCAATCGACGTTTTTCTTTGATCTACAATTTCGTGCTTAAATTCACAGTATATATAATGCAGAACTTGTAAACTGTAGCAGCCATAAACGAATAAAATGCACCCTACTCTTTTCTATTCGAACTCAAATAATCACATTTGATTCAAACTTACTCATGTCTGATTCGTTAAAGCAGAAATCAAACATTATGGGATGAGGACGTTTGCGGAACAAATATAACGGCAGTGCTCAGATCTAGAGAAAACATCTTTTACTGCCTTTTACTCAAAAAATTTCTATTTCTCTAGGTAAGTCTATGGGAGGGCCAACTGCTCAATGGGAACGAAAGCTAATTTAACTTCTGTTGGTTTACACTGTCCTTAAATGTTCAGTTCTATCATTCCAGGAATCCGAATGCCATATCTGCAAAATAACCTTAATTTTTAAGTAATTGCAGTTACTAAATAATGTTCAGATCATCAGCTATAGGAACGAAAAGGAGGGGAACGATTTTTTTCCTAGGGTTGGTGCTCCCTTGGCTCGTGTTAATAACTGCAGTTACAGAACGGTTCTAATTATACAATTACCAACGCCAATCAACCTAACACTTTTCTACGCTTCTCAGATCCCAAAGCTGCCACTATCTCAGCCACTGCCTAGAAAGTAGATAGCACAATAAGATGAACAACACTAAGCCAAGTAGATACGTACTGATGGTGGTCCCTAAACTATTTGGCCCAGGGTTTATACTCAGTAATATTTTCCCAAAACAAATTTGCCGTAAGAAGTTGTCTGTTCACTGTTACCGTTGCCCAGTTAAACGACAGTTTTGGGGTTTCTGCAGGTCTTCGTAGCTATCGTAGCAGCGGGATAAAACTTTATGCCATACACCGCCCTCGTGTGCGATCCCTTACCTACTTTGACCTTTGCCTGCTTTCCCAGAGGTGGAAGCTCATGCTAGAACTGCAAACAGCATTATTTATAAAACGAGCTGAAAGTGTGAGAGCTATGACTGTAAGAAGTCAACTTCGAAACACCGTAAATGTCAGTGATCCCCACACTGAAAGTAGCCGCTTTAAAAGCACACAGACTTTGCTAAACCAATGCAAGTGACTTATCCTGACATGAGTATGCAATGTCTTAATCGGGCATTAAAGCTGCACTCGATTCATTCATCAGACGCACTATAGAAGACGCTGGAGAGCGATGGAACATTGCGAGTTGTCACATTTAATCAGGTGGTTGGCACCGAACCGGCGCAACAGTTCGCGAGCTGGTAATTGTGCCTCAGTTTGTTTACACACATCAGGAACAGAGCAAGTTCAACCCTCGTAACTATATGCCAATTAGCGCTACATGCGGCCATGGAAGACATTTATTCAGCCAATGCATATTTATAAATCTGGACTATGCAAATAGCACTGCTCCGTTTTCTTGCGGTTCCAACTTGTAACAGGTTCCAGACCACTGTCAAACATTCCGCCACCAAGTTCGGTCTGGTACCATTCCTTGGAGAGGATAAAACTCCAATACTCCGTTGAAGGGCAGCCGAATCAAACTGCGACAGCGGAATAACAGATTATTGCAGCAGTGAACAGATTCACTTACTGCAGAAGCAGACAATGCTCATCTGAAAGATGCAATTACGAGCGCTGTATTCTGACTGCCTTTATTACAGGATGCTTATAGTGCGGCCGGTGGAAGTCACAGCCTTGTTCTACGACTAAAGTTGGCACGTCCAAAATGCTGGCTGAAACTGCTTTGTCTCAAAAGTCTGAAACATGAATCCAGAAAATGAAAAGTGAGAAAGCTGAAAATGAAAAGACAAATTTTTTACCGTTTGGATGTTGGTCTACATTACAGATGTCATTTGAGACACATTTTGTGAAAGAAAATATGGTTTTATGGTGGTCTCCATTTTAATGCAACCAATCAAGAGTGTTCTATTTCTGAAGGCAGTGCGTACAGCTAAATGATCGCTGAAGCGCGTATGAAGTGACACTCGTTTATCCACCTTAGAAAGATGGATGATATCTGGCATGACCCGGGATTCGTCGGCGATTTTTCTGTTAAATCGACTCAGCTATGTTGTGAAAGAAGACACCGTAATTCTCAAACAGCAGTGTCAACGGTAGCTTCAGGGCATGAAGTTAACGCGTTTTATTTGCAACGCCAAAGTAAACAGCTGATCTGCTTTCTATCAGTTTATGACGCAAATCGCTGCGAGAAAGGCAGCCATCACTGAACGGGTTGACATCCAGAAATCCGAGTGACAAACGCGTTAA